AATTAGATTTAAAAAAATCTGCCACAACTTATGAGACACCCTGTAGCTATCTAACGATCTTGTAGTTATTTTGAAGTTGCTATAGCTATTTAATTATTTGCATGGCAATTTAATCATTTACTTGCCTATTTAATCTTATCATAGCTATCTAAAGATCTTGTAGCTATTTAAACTTGCTATAGCTATCTAATGATTTACATAGCTATTTAATCATTCATTTGGCTATTTAATGCTATCATAGGTATCTAAAGATCTTGGAGCTATTTAAACTTGCTATAGCTATTTAAATATTTGCACAGCTATTTAATGATTTGCATAGGTATTTAATGCTATCATAGCTATCTAAAGATCTTGTAGCTATTTAAAGTTGCTATAGCTATCTAATGATTTACATAGCTATTTAATCATTCATTTGGCTATTTAATCCTATCATAGCTTTCTAAAGATTTTGTAGCTATTTAATGATTTGCATAGCAATTTAATTATTCATTTGCCTATTTTATCCTATCATTGCTATCTAAATATCTTGCAACTATTTAAAATTGCGATAGAAAAGAAAAAAACCTAAATCAGAGTCTGCGATTTCTAACAATAAAAAATACTGACAATTATATGTTTATTCTTATAAGCATCAAAAAGAATACTACTTTATCATCACTAGTAGATCTTTTGCTCAAATATTCATCCTACCTTGCTGATTCTTCAGAACAGGGTTTGTTTAGTTGATATGAGGATGAATTCGTTTTTTGCTTATTTCATCTTTTTATCATCTAATATGTTTTACTGTAATAAAAAAAAGCAAAATAAACCACGAGCAGAGGTTTGTTTGGTTGAGTGAGAATGAATTCGTTTTTTTATGCAATCTTTCTATCATTTAATATCTTTTACTTTGAAAAAAAATAAACTATGATCAGAGGTTTGTGTTTGGTTGATAACAAGATGGATTCTTTCTTATTATTTCATCTTTTTATCATCTAATTTCTTTTACTTCAAAAAAAAAAAATAAAATAAATCACGAGCAGAGGGTTGTTGGGTTGATGTGAGGATGAATTCGTTTTTTTTATTTTATCTTTTTATTATCTAATATCTTTTATTTCGAAAAAAACAAAATAAATCACGAGCAGTGGGTTGCTTAGTTGATGTGAGGATAAATTCAAAAAAAACCAGAACGCAAAACAATGAGCCACGCAGCTATTTAAATAATTGAGTGTCACTGTTGTTTTGTTTGAATTGCTAGCTAACTATGAAAAAACCAGTATCAAAGCTTTTAAATAGCTAAAGTTTTCTTTAAATAGCGATATTTCATTAAAAAGTATCTCTTTTGAGAATTTTAAATAGCCAAAGCTTTCTTTAAATAGCGAAATCTTTAATTAAAAAGTATCTATTTTGAGAAGCTACGAGAATGAATTGGATGAACTAGTTGAAGAGAACGCATTAGTTCTGACCATAAAACGACAGTAAATATGAATGAGGAACATAAGTCTTGAGAAACGCTGTATGTACAGTTTTAATAGTAATCAATTAAAAATCACCAACAGTAACTTTTCGAAATGGATAAATAAAGTAAATAGATGAATGGACGACGAGCAATTTAATCCCAATGTATTAACAATTATGATTGTGTTGAGTCACAATGATAGGAAACCATTTATTATCTTCTAAAGAAAAGATTCTCCATTTTATATTTCCATATTCACACTTCTCAAAAAGTGAAGCTTTTTTTGTAGAAAATTTAGCAGGGTGTGGGAATGAGTGGGTGTGGATCTAGGTGTGGGTCTAGGTTCTCATCTCCTAGCCTCATGACATCCACACCCATACTCACACCCTAGATATGGAGTCTGTGTCTCCGCTCAGCTGTGGATGAGAATGTGAATCAAGATTGAGTGTGAGATCTGGATGCGGCTCTATGTATGGCTAAGCGTCCGCGTAAGGTTGTAATATTATTCTTTTGGCGCGTATCCAGGTTTAAGTATTGGCCAATTTTCTTTCTAAGAAACAGTTACATGAATATTCACATGCACACCTACACCACACCCATATGACTCTATTTTCCTTTCAAAATCGAGTTGAATAACTTTAAAATGAAAGGAATGAGAGTTCTCTAATTGGACACAGCATTTGAAAATTTTGGTTATAATTGGCTGTAAATTTTGCCATGTTGGAATTCGAACACCCAAAACTAAACACACTAATGATGTAAAAATTCTCTTATTAACAAAACCAAGAAGAAACTTAGATAGTGCTGATTTCGTGTATTACCAATTCTCTTTCATTTGTTCTTTTCTTTTTAAAGTATATCTTATAATGGCGACAACAACACAAGCAACAGTTTGCATCAAATGCAAGAAAAAAAACCGCATATTAACGTGTAAAGGCTGCTCGAAAGATTTTTGCCCCGATCACCTCAACGAGCATATGAATGAATTAAGCGAGCAATTAGGTCAAACTGAAGATCTATTTAATGAGTTCAAAATTGAGATTGAAGGACAAAAAGCTGAGCCGCAACAACATGAATTAATGGAACAAATCGATAAATGGGAATACGAATCGATCGAAAGGATTCGACAAGTGGCAAATGAAGTTCGTCAGGAACTCTCATCATATATCATCACATTTGTCAGCGATCTAGATTTTGAATTCAAAAAGTTGAGAGAGCAATTGATTCAATGTCGTAAAGATGAAGATTTTATTGATACAGATGTTCGATTTTTCAATGAAGAACTCAAAAGATTAAAAGACATTCTTAACAATCCACCAACTTTGAAAATTCAATACGATTCAACATCTCTCATCAATAAGATTTATTTTAAAAAGGAAGGTAAATCTTATGTTCGAGTTTTCATCATCTCGTTTTTGGGATGATTAAAGTGATTTATTCAGTCATTCTGATTGTATTTCATTGCAGAACTTCTCAAGTTAAAGAATTTCATTCTGAAACTGTTAGAATCAACACTTAAGTGCTGAAGCTTTTCTTTGATAATCTTCATTGCTGAGACAGAAATAAAACGAAATAATAAAATGATTCTCGATATTTACGTAAGATGATTGGTGTGATCGGTGTTGCTCACAAGTTTTTCTCAGCTACTTAAAAGTATTTCTTCAAAATGTTCATGATATAAGAACAATAGTTTGTTACGGTAGATTATTCGACAAATGTTTTACATTTCTCGAAAGGAAAAAGACATTATGTCGAACTGATCAAAAGACTACATAATAGTGTGACTGATAGTGTGCCTTGTCACTTCATCCTACTTCAATACTCCTATGATATCACCCATACTCACCCGATCCCACACTGACATCCACACACCCATGTCCACACCCATAGCAACTTTTTGGGTTATGCAAGACTTTGAGAGTTATTGTTTTAGAAAATGATAGAGCACATATATGTATATGTAATTATACAAATAATCAGGCCCTAGACAGAATTAGTTTTATACATGTCCTCCTGAGTTCCGACCATGTATTGCTACCGAGAGAGCATATTTTGATATAGTAAGTATTCCAATGTGATAGCAGACGCAAACACCAGTGTATTCAGTGCCCTAATGGTTATTGTGTATGTGATGCAGTATAAGTATTCCAGTGTATGAACCAATAATGCACATTCCTAAATGCACGCCTATTGCAGTGCAATGAAAGTGTAACAAAAACAATACTGAGATTTCAAAATGCACAATTTGATCAAAATGTATATATGATCTGATGTAAGTTTTTTACGTTGATCGCACCTGCGTGTTTGATTTCGCCCTGAAATTGAATAGTGATGATGAAAAGTCCTATGAAAGATTTCATAATTAACAATTTTATCTAATTTTACTATGATATTCCTGAAAATTCATTAAGAAATTTTTTATAGATTTCGATCCAGCGACTCAGAGAAGATAAAGATTCGGTTTTATTTATTTTCACAAAAAATAAGATGGATTTACACAGATATCTACTTAGTTCAATCTTTAAGTAGCGGTAGTGGTATTGTAGTAATGTGGTATGAGAGTAACTGCGAAGAAAAGACCTAATACATTTACAACAAATATTAACGTCCTTACCTTGAAAGAAGTATTCATTTCTTCTGTTACCAACAATGAAAACCATCTTTGCCTCGAATAAATCGCCAAACATTGAATGAATATTGACTTTTCTTGGAGTGGCACAAAAATGTTACTAAGAAATAACGACTTGGTTTTATTGCAGGTACTTCGAAAATGAATACAGTTGGTACAATTGAAGCAACACAGGAGACAAGTTTCAACAAAGTTGAAGTAATTCAAACAATCTTTTATGGTCAATTTTCTGTCTTACCTATCTCTTTTTGTTCATAGATCGATACAGCTACAGCTCCTGAAGCTCAACAGGTCAGATAATGATCGCTCTGAAAAAGATATATATTCATCGAATGTTTCATACTTGTAGATGTCTGTCGTGAGAATCGATTCTTCATCAAATAAAAGTAGGACATCAGTGATAACCATTTTGAAAACGACAATGAATAGTATGGGTGAAAGTTATGTGAATAAAATCGCTGTCATTTCTCAGACTCACTAGTTACACAGAAGGAGGTGGGAGAATTTTCGCGATAAATATCGTTCGTTTGATATTGATAGAAAGAAAGTTTATATTCTTTCTGAGAATGAGATTCCCATTCAATAGGCGTTTCTACCATAATATCTGACGAAAGCGTGTGAATATTTTTAAAATTTATTGAAATAGCGCATCCTTGACCGACTAATATTTCATAGTAACTTGTATGAATAAATAGAATTTCTAGAAGCTTATAATCTAATCGAAAATCGAGTTAAAATTAAGGAAAAAACATGATTGTATGGTCATTTCTGTTAGCGTCAGAGATGAATCACTCTGATACTAAACGAAGATAAAGACGCACCTTCTAGTCTAATTGGCTTAGAACACCTGCCAGGATCGCACAAAGTGTGGGTTCGAGTACCACGGAAGTCATCTTTTGCTTCATTCTATCACATAACATTAGTGACACTGCTTGTCCTTTCATTCTATACATATGAAGCTAACAATTTCATCAGCATTCGGTCATGAACCAACTGTTTGTTTTCGTTCATTCTCTGAAGATCACCGACGCAGATGTAATCATTTTCTCATCAAATGATGACTGAGCATGTAAGATTTGTTCGATGTTGAATCTAGAATTTTAAACCAACATACACAAACCCATGAATTCCATTAATTCTTGAGCGTCCTTATCAAGCTAAACTACAATCGCATGTTGCATATAAAAGTTTACATGATATTTTCTTATTTACTGAAATAGATCAGCTTCATTTTGATGCACTTTCCTTTCAATTCAAAATTGAATTCAATACAAATCAAGAAGAATCAATAATAGCAATGATTTTCTCTGAGAAAAAAATATAGAAAAAAATCTCAGATAATCTTTTTGATATTCAGACTCTTTTTTTTTCCTTTGTATAATGATGTACACTTTTAACGAGGGACTAATAGGAGTGTACTATATTAGTTTTTTTCTAATTATTTTTATTACTGGCACATCATCATAGTAAAAGTAGTCAAAAATATCATATTGCGTCTCATAAATAGAACTTTGTGGAAATTGGCATTGTTGAAGATTATTGAGATCTTAATCACAGTTGAGTAATTCTGACTAAAAAAATTATTCAATTCATTTAATTTCCGATTTATATTCGGTTGAAACAATTGGTTTCTTAGTACAATTGTCCAACTCTGGCTTCGATCATTTTGAAATATTAAATTCAGAAGATTTTTCTGCATCGTTGGGCACTTTATCATTTAATCTTTTCGTCTCTGTATATAGAATCTTTCTTTCGAAGTTAATTCTTTCTCTATAGAACGAAATGAAGGAATTCTTCTTATTTCAATCAATCTCTTGCATTAATTATTTCCGATTTTCTTACAATGAGCTAATAAGTTTGAGTAGTTTTAGATCAATTGACTTCTTCCGTTGAACTGAACACGTACGCCCTTACATTGAATAATAACAATTCAAAAAAGAATATGTAGAAGCCTCCATAATTGACTGTTATCAAGAATTCTCACTGTATTTATTCTACACAAATAAGACTGAGTGATTATTGTACAATGGCAATTCTGTTTATATATCTCATCTCAATCTAAAGATAGGGCGGTCAGAACGACGTATGAGTGAGGATTCCTTCAAAATACATGTTTGGTATAAGCAAATGAGAAATATATTAACAAGATCTACTTGTAGCAGGAATAGTGCATTTAAAAACAAAGACGTGCGTGTGAGTGTGAGTAGTCATTTCATCTGCAACCACACAATCCCGCACCTACACCCGCACCCACCCACACGCCACACCTTCACACCCACATCCCACACCCATACGCACACCCTAACATGTTGAGGGAAAGGAAATCGTTTGTTTATTGTTAATGAATGTCATTTGTAAAAAGTTGATATTTTTGTAGGTTTTTTGTTATTCAGAAACAGAAACAAGTCATATAAGATGAGGCTTGTACGAATAAATAGTAGATTTCGTCATACTGCTAGATGATATGCAGTTATTAATATTTCTGGATAATCTAGACTTTTCGTGGACGTAGATAGACACATGGCAAAATGGGAGAGTGGAGAAGATAGGTCTATTATATCATTCTCAAGTCTGTTTAGAAGCTTGCATGCCAGACATCCATTGACAAAGAAAACTTTCGTTTCTTCTAAATCATAATGACATGAATTCGAGTAAGTCAGTTTTTGTGTACTCAAAAAGTGAGTACACTACTAAAATCGGTCAGTGTGTCCGGCCGTCCGTCCGTTTATTCGATAACTTTTGAAAGGAGAGTCAGATCGCAATGAGATTTTCTACACAGTTCAGTCTTAACAATATCTCGGTCGAGTTCGAAGATGAGAAGGATTGGCTGAGCCATTCCTGAGTTATTGCAAAAATACTCATTTTTCCCTATACATTCCCTATGGAAAGATTGAGCCATCCCCGCTTTCGTAAACAACTTTTCCTATTCTGGTCAACTAAAACCCCAACTATTATATACCATTCGATAGAGAATTTCAAGAGCTACAAAATGGTATATAAAACATAAAGAAACAAGAAGGCTGACTCACCTATCACAAAGATAATTAAAGAGAACTAGGTTATATTTTTGTCCACGATCTAATTGATCCACAATTCGAGCTCTATCTTCCGATCACAGTGATGATGCTTCGAGGTTTTCTGAGGTGGAGAACTCGAATCTGTATTCCACTCCCGTCGAAATACTATTGGTTGAGCAGTGACCAATAGAAATCAAGTTATAGGAAAAACGACTTTCTTAGAGTAAATCAAAGGAAAGATTTCAAACTTGAGCTGTATTCGGTTCCAAGTTCTATTGGTTTGGCAACGCGCAATAGAAATCAACATTTGAAATGGTAGGTTCCCCAGTATAATTTCATGTTCAGACATTCTAGGATGACTGATCCGTATGATTCACTTTTTGAAGTACACATAACTCTCGGATTTAAATTCGAAGTTTCCGCATTTATTTTTGTTAAAAGAAAATTTGACATGATTTGTTTTTTACCTGATCTCATGTTTTACATGTGACTTTCGACCACTTCGAAACGAGTATTCAACGCTCAAATTTGTTGACCACTCTATTAGATATATCTGTTTATCATTATGATAAAAATACCTATGGCTTATGACCAGTGATGTAATGTAGATTACAAGATGAATATCGATCTCTTTGAGTCTATGGAGACGAAGAGTAGAAAGTACTATACTTCAATTGAATCCAGTAGTTGTTCAAAGTCATTTATGAGATAAAAATGAACTCATCCAAAATATGGCTTTGTAGAACTTTATATAAACAAAAATAATCAAAATAACTGCTGATGAAATGATGAATAGAGTGCATATATTATTCATTCTTTTGTTTTATTAAAAATCATTGCCAATTTAACGATGAAACATTATTAAAACATTCCTCCACTGTATTAGCTGGAAGTCAATATGAAGACGAGACAGTATATCTTCAATTATGAAAGTCAATCGATGAAATGTTACCATAAACACATAAAATGAGCATAACTTACCTCATAATAAGCTAAGATAAATTTGTTAGTTTTGAAAGATAAAAATATTTTTGAAAATAGTGTCATTACGCGGCGAAAGATCCACACAAAATAAAAGAAAATAATGTACTATTAAACCAAAAGAAAAAAAGAAAATCTTAAATATAATGGAAGAAGAACAGACCTGCGAGTCTAGAATTTTAAATAAAATTCTAAAGAACTATATCTGAGCTCTGCTACAGAATAGTTGATCTCAAATTCAATCGTGAGTTGCACTGGAGCAAACTAAACGAAACTTACAGAGGTACCGTATGCAGGTAAAACATTATTAAAATTATTTGTTATTTCGTTTTTCTCCACTCGTTTTCATGGACATTTTTATGAGAAAATATTGAAAAATGTCTATATTTATAATAACTATTCAATTCCTTGAACGATAAGATAACGATAAAAATATGACTCACAATGACCGTTTGATGAATCCTCCATACATCCTAGGGTATGCGACCGAAATATTTCTCATCTTGCCAATCGAATTGTCATCAAGAGACAATTGGGAACGAGTTGAAACTCGGAACGATGTTGGTTTTGCGAAAATTCAAATGAACATTTCATTTCTTCTTCTGATGCTCTCTCTCTCTTTCTCTCTTATTTTATCGTTTTGTACTGTTATTTCTCTCTGTTTCAGTTCTTCCGTTACGTGGAAATTCCATTGACATTCATCCGAATGCTCGATGGCAACAGAATGGCCTGACTATAGCTGGAGGTAATGGGCAAGGTAATGGAAGCCATCAACTTGATGATCCATTGGGATTATATGTTGATAACGATCAAACTATCTATGTCGCTGATAGTTCGAATCACCGTGTTATGGAATGGAAATGGGGTGCAATGATTGGCCAAGTGGTTGCCGGTGGCAATGGACCAGGAAGTGGGACATATCAGTTGTCTGACCCAAGAGACGTGATTGTCGACAAAGACACAGATAGTCTAATCATTTCCGATTATTCAAATAAAAGAGTGGTTCGATGGCCTCGTCAAAATGGGACAAATGGAGAAACAATTATCTCGAACATCCATTGTATAGGTTTGACAATGGATGAGAATGCATCGTTCTATGTCATTGACAATGAAAACGATGAAGTGAGACGATATCAAAGAGGCGAATCTCAAGGAACAGTGATTGCAGGTGGCAATGGAACTGGAAATCGCCTTGATCAACTCTCTGACCCACAATACGTATTCGTTGATCGAGACCACTCAGTGTACGTCTCTGATTTAGGAAATCATCGTGTGATGAAATGGTTGGAAGGTGCAAAAGAAGGTATTGTCGTGGCTGGTGGTCAAGGAGAAGGAAATGATCTCACACAATTGTCACATCCTCGAGGAGTCGTTGTGGATCAGTTGGGCACTGTCTATGTGGCTGATGTAGGAAATGATCGAATCATGCGTTGGCCCAAAGGAGCCACACAAGGAAGTGTCATTATTGGTGGAAAAGGTGCAGGAAAACAATCAAACCAACTCGATGGACCTTTCGGTTTGTCATTCGATCGATATGGTACTCTATATGTCGTCGATTTGGGAAATTATCGAGTACAGAAATTCAATATAGATTCAAATAAATAAATAAAAAATACAACCTCGGCAACTACTTATTTGACTGCTTACAATTAATGAACATAACTCTCTCAAACTGATTAATTCTAATTCATCGAAATTCAGTAATTTAGGTTTAATCAATATGACCCAATAAAAAAACAAGAACAAAAATTTACTTAGGAATCCTTGCAAACACATAAAGCACAACACACAAAAACAGGACGGAGACATGGCTGACTTTTCACCAAAATGAATCCTTGAAATTCTTTCAAGCATTCCTCGGATTTCAAGACATAAAACGCTGTGTGGTCTTCAGAATAATGAAGATCATGGCTGATTCTATCAAATTCCAAGGGTTCCAAGCGGTCGCAAATTAAGAAGGCTTCAATTCCTAGAAAATCTGAAAGCTGTACTAGGGCCATATAGGCTTCTCATCATTAACAGAAGCCTCCAAGGATTTCAAAACTTAAGAGTGTGGGTATGGATGTGGGCGAGTGTGGGTGGGTGTGAGTGGGTGGGTGTGTGGGTGTAAGTGTAGGTGTGAGTGTGAGTGTTTGTTTTTCTTCCATCCACACCCACACCTCACATCCACACACTCACACCCACACCCACACCCACACCCACACCCACACCCACACCCACACCCACACCCACACCCACACCCCACACCCACACCCACACCCACACCCACACCCACACCCACACCCACCCACCT